AGCTGGGATTACAGGCACGCGCCACCATGCCCAGCTAATTTTTTGTATTTTTAGTAGAGACGGGGTTTCACCATTTTGACCAGGATGGTCTCGATCTCTTGACCTCGTGATCCACCCGCCTCGGCCTCCCAAAGTGCTGGGATTACAGGCGTGAGCCACCACGCCCGGTCCAAAGATCTCTCCTAGTTTACTATTTCTAATAGAAATGAATATGTATAACCCTTTGTCACATAGATTATGGAGCCTTTTCATATTTCAAGTTTTTTCAGTAAGAATTTTTATCTTTACTTTTGTGGGAGAGTTTTATTTATCACATTGAATTATGTATCTTTTGCATCTTATGCAAAATATGATGCTTAGTCTTTTATAATTGAGATTTTAGTCTTATAAAAAGGAAGGATTGAAACTTTCCTACCTACTATCAAGATCCATATCTCAACTAGAACTGTGTAATACAGCAAATGATAATATTTTTTTTTTAAAAAAACAGCATTACCGTTGTTTCTTGGTCCTTTTAAAAATATTATTTTATGCAAAATGCACTGTGAAGATGGCAGAAATAATGGTATCACATTGTGATAGCTGTTGTGGGCAGTGTGGTTTGCAACTCAGCACCCATACACCCTCCTTCTGGAAGATCTCTTGACTATTCACGGAGGGGAGGGACTATCCCTCCCCTATTTTCAGGGTTGAATGGAATCAATCTAACTCCTATTTCCTGAGCTGAGTTTGTGCATTAATTATGCACTTAATTGCATTTCTCATCCCCTGTGCATATGATTAGTTCAGAGATGTTATTAAGACATTAGAAGGCATTTATTGAACCTTCTGGAAAGGAGAAGCATCTTTGTTCTTCCTCCCCCTACAAGAGGAGTTTTTCTTCCCTCTCTGACAGTATAATGTGAGGGTGGCACCTGAGGTATCCGGGTGCACCTCAGTGAGGCCTAAGATGAAACTAAAGGCACAGTGTAGAGATAGAAAGACAAGGTCCTTGGTATACCATTTAAGATGCTGGATTAAGGCACACATGAGGCCAGATAAGTTCTGTACTTTATAGTTGATAGTGCCAATAACACTCGCTTTTTAATTTTTGGCTTAAACTGGTTAGAGTGGCAATTTGCTTTCATTTCTAATTGATTCTCAATAAATGTGACCATTTAACCAGTTATGACCAAAGGGATATTTCATTTCTGAGAAAAAGTACTTAACTGCTGATTGAAGAGCACCCCCTCTCCCTCCAAAAGACCTTCCAGTACTCTCTTCCTCTCCTGCTACACAGCACAGAAGAGCTATTCCTTGGTGGAACCCCCATCATCCTGGCTCCCTGAGAGCCTGCGCAAGAGGGACCCCTGCCAATCCACAATGAACTTATGGCATGAGTAAGATATAAACTACTGGGGTTTCAAAAACAACTGCCACCACAGAAAAATTTATTGTTTCCTATAACCAATATAGTATGCTATGGTTCCACTCTTGGGGCTATGGTATATACTTTACACAGAGGAATTACTCCAAATCTATAAGACAAAAATGCAGTGAGGCTTCTGTAATAAGTATTTCCACAGACTATCGATGTGAGAATACGAAAAGGTAGATTGGATTCAAATTCAATGTATTTTTTAAAAATCCATTTATCAAGTATACTTACTGGGGTATTCAGATAAATCTTGCTTACACAAGCACAATCCTCCAGCCACCAAACACAAACTTCCCCTGAATGTGTAAGTGTCTGCAACAAAAAGAAAAATAAAACTATACATGGAAAATAAGACTTTCCTATGGGAGCATGTTCTACCTCCCTTTCCAGTGTGTCAATCTGATGATTTAGTATGAAATTTTATTTTACTTATGTGGATTATACTTATTTTATAATTTCAATGTCAATGCTTCTTTTCTGAACAAATATTAACTAGTATCTTTAATGCAATTTAAGTAACACATAATAGCTAATTAGTATTAGGAAAGTAAAATAAAGATTTTTCATGTAACATATTAAAGTTAAAAGTTGCTTATAAAAATCAGTGAAACTATTGCCCACTGAACAAATGTAGAAATAGGAAACAATACATTGTTCTTTTTTAAATTACTGGAATTTTTTTTTTAGAGCGTTTTCAGGATTACAGAAAAATTGAGCATAAAGTAGAGAGTTCTTCTTCCCCTTCCCCTCCACACACACAATTACCCTATTATTAACATCTTGCATTAGTGTGGTACATTTGTTACAAACGATGAGTCAATATTGACATATTATTATTGACTCCTTAGACTGAATTAATGTATTGTACATGGCAACAATTTATTTTCAACCTCAGGTGGTGCTGCTGCATTACCCAGAAAAAAAAGATTATTAAATAAATACTAATAGTTTACAGAGTGTTGATGACTCATTAGCAATAAATGTATTTTAAAATGTGTTCAAGCCTGGTTTGCAGAGCTTGGGTGGTGAAAACCAAAAGATGACTCCTAAGATCTCAATTGTGTTGACTGTTTTCAGACGATGATATTATGAAGTCACAATATAAGGACATCATTCTAACTGGGGGATAGATTTGAGGATAGAAGTGTCTGGCATCTCCACCACAGTCTTCAAGGACAGCCTCTGCCTCCTATTTGCATTGCTTTGCACATGAACTCTCAAAGTTACCCAATAACATATAAATAGGGATTTAAATCTTGCAATATCATATTTTTAGTCCTACTGTGACACAGTAAAATATTCTTTACCATGAAGTGTTCGGTTCCAGGTGTGATAAAGTCAATTGCCTGAAAATTTCCATCACAAGCATCTAGGACTTTATTTAAGATTGGTTTCTCACCCAAAGTGTAGATATAAACAGATCCCTGAAAAACATACAAAAGAAAAGAAACATATTGTAATTGTTGTGTATACAGTTCAACAAATATTTATTAAATGCCTACTGTAGCCAAGGCACTGTGTGGAAACAGATAATGGGAAATCATAGATCAGCTCAGTAAGACCTTGACCGTGAGGGGCTTAAAATCTAGACCCTTGATTTGTTTGTTTATTGATTGATCGATTCATTCATTCATTCACTTATTCATCATTTTATTTTATTTTATTTAGTTTTATTTATTTATTTATTTATTTTTTTTTTTGAGACAAAGTCTTGCTCTTGTTGCCCAGGCTGGAGTGCAATGGCACAATCTCAGCTCACTGCAACCCCCACCTCCCAGGTTCAAGTGATTCTCCTGCCTCAGCCTCCTGAGTAGCTGGGATTACAGGCATGCACCACCACACCTGGATAATTTTGTATTCTTACTAGAGATGGGGTTTGAAGACATTGGTCAGGCTGGTTTCAAACTCCTCACCTCAGGTGATCCACCCACCTTGGCTTCCCAAAGTGCTGGGATTACAGGCGTGAACCACCACGCCTGGCCTCATCATTTTAAATAACCATAAGACTTTCTTTTTCAATTCCAGACATTCATTTTTTATTTTTATTTTTTTATTTTTAAAATTTTTTTGTGACTGAGTCGCCCTCTGTTGCCCAGGCTGGAGTGCAGTGGTGCGATCTTGGCTCACTGCAACCTCCATCTCCTGGGTTCAAGCGATTCTCTTGCCTCAGCCTCCTGAGTAGCTGGGATTACAGGGCTCCGCCACCATGCTCAGCTAATTTTTGTATTTTTACTAGAGACAGGGTTTCACCATGTTGACCATGCTGATCTCAAACACCTGACCTCAAGTAATCCGCCTTCCTTGGCCTCCCAAAGTGCTGGGGTTATAGACATGAGCCACCATGCCTGGTCTCCCAGACATTCGTTTTTTAATTTACAAGACATAACAAGACATTTTTTTCTGTTTCAAAAACAGTATCTATTTATGTAGAAAATTTGGAAAATATAGAAAATCCAAAAAGTTGTTAAGATGTACTAAATTCTACCACACGGAAGGGACACTAAACATCTAAACAAGCCTTTGTAGAAATTATTGAGGTATGTCACCTTATGACATTATTTTCAGCTCCCGAACTCACCTCTAAAAAAAAAAGTCTATTCTGTAATGTATGCATCTATACCAAGTAACTGGTAATATAATATGATCACTTAACGAGCAGTAAGAAGTCTGCTTTCAGCTGATCACAAGTTCTTCATGTTTACTTGAGTTAAATATAAATATTTCTGGTCTTATTTACCTAAAAAAATATGACTCTATAGGAGTTCAAAATTTGGCAGATATTTACTAATTTTATCTTTCTTTCATTTCTTCAATAAATATTAAGTGGATTTACAGCACCAGTCACTGCTCTAGATGCTGGGGTTACAGCAGAGAATAAAACAGACAAAATATCCTACCCTCATGGAGCTTACCTTCTGCTGGGAGATTCAGACAATAAATAGTATAACCAAATAAAATATACTGTAAGTTAAACAGTGATAATTGTAAGAAGAAAAAGAAAATATAACAGAGAAGGAAAATACTGCATAACAAAATAAGAGGGTGAAATTTTAAAGTGCATGTTTAAGAGAGGCTTCAGTGAGAAGGCATGGCAGGCCAGGTCTCACTAACAGCTGAACAGGCAGGCCTCCATGACAACTGTTTCAGCAATGACTGAGTGGTTAAGTTAAATATTAAAAGCTAATAGAGCCAGCACCCTTATACAAAGGCTGGAATATAAAAGAAGCCCACCAAGAGTTTTGCTTAGGCCTTTCCTGGGCCTTGAAGCATGATAAGATAACGAAGGAATTCTAAACAGGACCCGTTTAGGATTAAATAAGTTTTATTGGGGGTCTGAAGAAACTCCTCAGACCTCTACAAACAAGTTTTATTGGGGGTCCAAAGGAACTCCCCAAATCTCCATGATTTAGCAAGAGACAAGATAAGGGTATTTACCCCTGGCACTTGAAGCCATCTAGATTAAGTAAATTTACTAAGGCTCCAGAGGAAGGCCTTCAGGACTAGAACTTAGTTATAGATTAGAAGTTAATCACTTACGTCTTTAGATGAATGAACACTTACATGTAGATATATAGCTTAGAAGGTATATAAGCTCTGGAAAACTTTGTAATACTGAGTTGGTCCAGTGATATTTTCCCAGCCTTCTTCCTATACCCAGTTACAGAAATAACTCCCTTCTTTCCCAGTTCATCTGCATCTCATTAGCAGGCCAGGGGAACAAGCAGCCCAGCCATCAGATCTGGGAAGAAAGGTAACTTTAAAGAAAAGACTTGAAGGTTCCTGCCTGTAATCCTGGCACTTTGGGAGGCTGAAGTGGGCAGATCACTTGAGGCCAGGAGTTTGAGACCAGACTGGCCAACGTAGTGAAACCCCATCTTTACTAGAAATCCAAAAATTAGCTGGGTGCACACTGTAGTCTTAGCTACTCAGAAGGCTGAGGCATGAGAATCACTTGAACCCGGGAGGTGGAGGTTGCAATGAGCTCAGATTGCACCACTGCACTCTAGCCTGGGTGACAGAGCAAGACTCTGTCTCAAAAAATTAAAAAAAAAAAAAAAAGACTTGAAGGAAATGAGGAAACAATCCATGTAGATTCTGTGGGAAGAACATTCCAGACAGGGGGAAAAGCCAATACAAAGACTCTGATGGAGAGGCATGTCTGGCAGGTTCAAGGAAACAGCATGATGGCCAGTGTGGTAGGAGCAGGGTGGACAAGAATTCACAGTACTGGTAGATAAAGCCAGTGGTGGGAATTGCAGTCCATGTCATGAGGCGCCTTTTGAAACATAGTAAGGATTTTGGCTTTTACTCAGAATGACATAGGAAATCACTGGAGGGCTCTGCTTAGTAAAGAAAAATACTTTGCTCACCTTAGCTGCTATGTTGAGAACACATTGTTTATTTTTTCTTTCTTTCTTTCTTTCTTTTTGAGACAGTCTCACTGTGTCACCCAGGCTGGAGTGCAGTGGCACAGTCTCAGCTCACTGCAACCTCCACCTCCCAGGTTCAAGTGACTGTCCTGCCTCAGCCTCCCAAGTAGCTGGGATTACGGTGCCCACCACCACACCCAGTTAATTTTTGTAATTTTAGCAGAGACAGGATTTTACCATGTTGGTCAAGCTGATATCGAACTCCTGACCTTGTGATCCACCCACCTTGGCCTCCCAAAGTGCTGGGATTACAGGTGTGAGTCACCACGCCCAGCCATACATTGTTTGTTCTATCATCATGTAACGAAAGAAGTATATTAAAATGCTCCATAAAACAGCTTTGTTTCTCCTCACTCTGTCATGTTTTAAGTCTCTGAGGCTACACTATTAGCTATATACATATTTGTGTGTGTGTGTGTTTAGCTATTACATATTTTAAGTATTTATATATTCCTGGTAAATTTAATATTTTATTATTCTGAAATAAGCCCATTTATCTTTAGTAATGATTTTTACCTTAAAGCCTATTTTGTCTAATGTTAATACACTTCCAATGGTTTTCTTTTGGTTAATGTTTGCACATCTTTTTATATTTGGTTTTAAACATAGATTTTAATTTATGCTTTTTGTTTATCTCAATTGTTTTGCATTTCATTTTCTTTCTCTTTTTTACCTTATTTTGGGTTAAACTATTTTTTTTAACATTTCACTTTCTCTAGTTTGGAAATTTCATCTATTGTTTCTATTCTTTTATTGGTTACCTTAGAAGTTATAACATGCATACCTAACTTATCAACATCAAAAGTTACTTAAAAGCTTTACTCTCCTCCTGTGTTATATGGGATCCTTGTAACACTTTATTCTATATATACCCTGCCCTCCCCCCACCAACTTATACTATTGTTATTTGGGATTTTAATTCAATATTATTTTTAAACCTACTTTCACATTATTTTTGCTGTTGTATGCAGTGTTCATTTACCGTGTATCTTCTACAGTGTGCCATTCTCCACCCATTACTACTGCTCTTTGTTTTTCTTGCATCACGGACCTTCTACCTGGGATCATTTTTCTCTGCCTGAAGTAAATTCTTTTTTTTTCCTTTTTTTTTTTCTTATACCTTATACAAAAATTAACTCAAGGTGCCTGAAGTAAATTCTTTAGAATTTTCTTTAATGATAGTGAGCTGCTGACACACTTTTACCTTTGGAGTGTCTAAAACGTCTCTTTTCACCCCAGTATTGAAAAGATGTTTTCACTGAGTATAGAATTCTAGGTGTCAATTATTTTCTTTCATTATATCAGGAGTCATCAAACTTTTCCTATAAATAGGCTGATGATAAATATATTAGGCTTTGCAAGCCATGTAGTCTCTGCCACAACTATTTAATGCTGCCATTTTGGTATGAAAGCAGCCATTAACAATATATAAGTGGGTGTAGCTGTGTTCCAATAAAATCTTATTTGAAAAATAAGCAGCAGACTAGCTTTGCCCCATGGAGCCACAGTTTGGTGACCCCTGCACTACATTGAAGATATTATTCCACTATTTCTTACATTATTGCCACAGAGAAGTCAGATATTAGTCTAATTGAAATTCCTTGGAGGTAATCTGTCTTTTCTCTGACTGCTTTTAAAATTTCTCTTTGTCTTTGGTTTTCAATAGTTTCACTTTGGTAACTCTAAGTGTTGATGCCCTTTTATGTATTCTGTTTGGGATTCACTGGACCTCTTAAATCTGTAAATTCATATCTTTAACTAATTCTGGAAAATCCCCAGCTAATATCTCTTTAATTATTGCCTCTGCCCCACTTTCTCCTCTCTGGATTCTAATGGAACATATGTTAGATCTTTTCACTGTATTGTTCTTGTCTTTTATGTGCCCTTCTGTATTTCCTACCCTTTTGCTTTTCTAGGTGACATTCTGAATAACTTCTTCTGATCTATCTTCCAATTTATTCATTCTCTCTTTGGCTGGCTAATCTTTTGTCAGACATGTTCATTTAATTTTTAATTTGCTAGTATATTTTTCTTCTTTAGAAGTTCTATTTGGGTCTTTCCTCCTTTTATGATATCTTTTTCATAGTTTCCTGTTCTTCATAGATATTTTAAGTTAGTAATTTATTTATTAAAACAAAGTTAGTATAGTTTTTTTTTAAAAAAAAAAACTTCTGGAAATTATCAGAAACAAAAGTCTTTCCATATTTAAATTTAAGTCTCTTTTAGGCAGAAAATAATTGAATTAATTCATCTAAAAATATTGCCTAACATCAATATCTGCTAATCTTGATGTCTGAAGATCATCTCATTAATTAGGAGTTTTCCTAACAGTATAATTGAAGTAAATGTTTGTTTTAATCTTGCAACAATTCCTTTTTCTTCTTCTCTTATAGAACTCTCTCATTTTCTTTGGAAAACAACCTATGTCCCAATCTCAGTTCTCATTTGAGTGGGCTGACTCTACCCAGCATCCAAGGGTAGGCATGTGACTTAGGCCTGGCCAATCGGAGCTTAGAATTCCTATGGTCCAAGTGATTGACCTGGGGTAGACAGGTGATTCAGTTAGTCCAATGAGTCTACATTCCAGAACTTTTTTTCTCTAGCTGGTATCTTTCCACCAGGGATAGCAAGCAGGCAGAAATAGAAGTTAGAGCTGCATATAGCTCTTAACACCACAAGGGGAGAGTCTGCATGGAAACAGAGGCAGTAGAGAGGAAACAGAACCAAGAAATGGAAAAAAACAAGGCTTGGTGGGATCATGGGACCTCTGGTATTCAGATTCACTCCTTGCCCTTTCAGTTACATGTACAAAAATAAACCAATAGCTCTTCGTAATTTAGGCCTTTAAAATTGGGTATTTTTTCATTTACAACCTAGAGTCTTGACTAGTAGAGTATTACTGTGCAGCACACTCTGCTCCTCATTCCTGTCATGCAATGGTGATAATAATATTATCTGAAAATCACATATCAAGAAATTACCATCTAACATACCTTGTCTGTTTGAATCAGCAACATTGTATAATTTGGAGAAAACATCATATGTTCTACAGGTCTTTCAATCTCAAGAAAATCCTCAATCACGTAACTTCCATCTTTAATAATAAAAGAATACACAAAGCCATCCTAGAGATGAGTGAGATAAATGTAGAAAATCAGTCTTAGTCAGTGCATAGTATACATGACTCATCAGATAAGCTATGGCTTAATGATTACTTCTACTGTTTATTTGGAATTATCATCTATGTTTGCACAGATGCACTGTCCTTTCATCTTTATTTAGACAAATTTTAACTATGTTCCCTGGTCAAGCTTCAATTTGATCTCTTTTGTGATACACTTTGCAATGACCTAAAACTTTGCTGACCTGTCCTTTCTTTGCGTTTCTCTACTATCCCTCTTCTTACTACATTCTTCACTACACAGGAGGTAGGGAAAACAAAGCAGAATTTGTGTGGCTTATATATAGCAGTATGTCCTTCAAAGGACACTAGCCCTCCTGTATGTTCTTTAATCATTATTATGTTCATTTCTTATTTCCCTAAATGACCCACGGGTAGGAGTGTGCCTTTTATTCTCTTCGTATCTTCTTTTTCAGTTCCTCATACAGTAGTAGAATATGGCAAGTATCCAATATAAATGGGTTTGTTTATTGGTTGGTTGTGAACAGATTTAGGCTAATTTTACTACCCTCAAGAGGAATTTGAGTTATCTTTACAATAGTGAAAATATTTTGAGGAAATTTATTTATCATTTTCTAGATTAGACCTGTTATAACTAAGAATGAGCACTTATGAGATGGCTGGGTTCAAATGCTTGGGCTCTGGAAGGGAAAACAGACAAGGTGCTTTTTTCAAGCTCATCTTCATTCTCTGTCACTCACCAGAGCAAATGCTACAATCATTCCTTTAAAGGGGGTTAAACAAACATCAACAGTGGTCTTGAAGAGGACAAGAGTCATAAAAAGGCCACAAATGCAGACAAAATGGAGGAGGAGGAGGGATAGTCAACTGCCTAGCTACCCTCAAGGTCCTGGAGATATCAACTGTGGTAGTGGAATGGACTATGCTAACATCCGGGACAGCTAGAACTAAACCTAGATTTTAGTATAGGTCAGTTCCAAACCTTAGCATTGTTTACATTGATTACAATGGCATGGAAAAACATGGTCTGACCCCTTTTCATACTTACTGAGGCTGAGTTCTAATTAATGACAGCAAAGACTTTGGAGTTTGACACACCTATGTTCAAGCCCTAACTCTTCCAATTACTTGCTGGTGAACCCTGTAGGATTAGGTTACTTGTCTGTGAAAGGAGGATGTCAATAGTTTCTATTTGATAAAGTTGTTGTGAGGACCAATAAGATAATACATGTAAAGTACTTAGCTTGGTGCCTGGCACAAAGTAAGCACCAAGTAAATGGAGGCTATTAATACTGATTCGAATATCAACAATAACACTATGACTCATGTAAGCTAAATGGGCATTCATAAGAGTCTAAGTTGCAGCTTAGACAAAACGTTCCAAATTTATTTCTGACAACCTAATACATTAAATGTAGAAATGAGCATGGAATTGGGTTACAGATATTAGATATTTTTTTCTTTGCAAAAGGGCAATGGATTTTTAAATTCTATTTGTCTCCGTTTGCAGTAATATATGATAGTTCATTATATTGTTCCCTCTATTTTGTATAGATTTGAAGTTATTCATAATAAATCTTTTTTTAATAGTACTCAAAGAGGAAACAATTTTAATTCATAATCTGACAGATCTGACATCCTAAAATATGGCTCATAATAGTAAATGGCAACAAATGGGAATTGTGTATTTTCTTCAAACCAATTAATTTTGAAAAAAAAATACATTACAATTCCAGAAGCCAGCACGCCCTCCTTCTGATACACCAAGGTTACTGGACTGATAAAATTTCTTCTGTCTTTTGGAAAAGAAAAATAAGGTAAAGCAGGTGACATGTAGTTAAAAGCACAATGCAACAATTAATAACAAAAGTTGCTTTTACTGATGTAAATCATATAAGTTGTTTCTGAGTTCTCTATCATCAGATCTATGTAACTAACAGAAATGCTAGATTAGAGAGAGGAGCAAGGCTGGAGAGTACAGTAGGAGAAAAGGGAAGAGAGAAAGGGAGTAGGGCAGGAAAGTCAAACCTGATGGCCTCAGTTTTACAGGGAAACTGAGTCACAGAATGGGAGAGATGGTAGATTAGGGACATTGCAATGGGGCAAACTTGCTGGAGGGGTTAGTATTTAAGCTGGCATTGGCAGATTCAGAGACAATAAATACCAAGGGAGTGGGCTAGAGACATGTCTGTGAAATGGTGAGAATAAATGACTGGCTCAGAAAACTCATACTGGGGTATAGTTGGAAATAATACTAACAGAGCAGGTAGGATCAGATTAGGGAGAGAATGAAATCAAGGCAGAGCAGTTCTTGAGCTGGGTGTTAAAAGCGGCCTTCAAAAAGGAGATTTGGCAGAGATAAGCCGCCTGGTTTGGGTCAGATGTAGATTAAGGTCAGTGAAGTCCGTTCTAAGGTTGTAACAGAAATCAAAGTGTGAAATAGTAAGAGCAACTGAAGTAGAGAATGCTTTGGACAGGTTTGAGGAGCTTGTCCTGGCAAGGCCTCCTCCTCACAGGGTCTACATCTACTGCTCAATGGGTGGACAGTGGCTCCTGTGACCCAGGCCCAACCATGGCCACAGCTGATGGGGTCAGGAATAGACGCTAGATCTAAGGGACAATAGATCAGATTCTCTTTAAAATTCTAGCTGAGCAATATGGCAGGGTGTGGTGGATCATGCCTGTAATCCCAAATTGGGAGGCCAAGGCAGGCAGATCACCTGAGGCCAGGAGTTCAAGATCAACCTGGCCAACATGGTGAAACCCCATCTCTTCTAAAAATACAAAAATCAGCTGGGCGTGGTAGTGTGTGCCTATAATTCCAGCTACTTGGGAAGCTGAGGCACGAGAATTGCTTGAACCCGGGAGGCAGGGGTTGCAATGAGCCAAGATTGTGCCACTGAACCCCAGCCTGGGTGACAGAGTGAGGCTCTGTCTAAAAAAACCCCAAAAAACAAAAAAACAAAAACAAAAACAAAAACACTTCTAACTGACCAATAGAAAGAAAGGTTATTTTCAAGATGCCTTTTGGGCTTAAGAGATCATCAGCATGGAGAAAAGGGTTGGGATGGGGGGCAGAAAAGGGTATGATTAGCTGACTAAGCAGAACGGGCATATGTATAGAAAAGGATACAGCACAGTAGCCAAGAATTTGGACTCGCAGGTCTTATAGCCTGGGTTTAGGTGACAGCTCCAGTTTATGTGGATTGGGTCATGTTTCCTAATGTATCTCTTCTGTATCATGGAGGTTAAGGTGTCTCTCCTCATAATGTTCTGAGGATTATATGAAATATGCACATAAAGTGATGGTAGAATGCCAAGAGCATAGTAACAGCTAGAGGATAAAGAAGGAGAAATCAAAGATGTCTCCAGGAAGGAGAAAAATAGGGAAAACCCAGCAAAGCAACACCCATGGCTATACTAGGAATATGAAGCAGGGCTGTTTCTCACCCAATGGTGATTCCTCTTCTATCTTATTAAGCACAGTCACCTTCAAGGTGTCTCCATTAATCACTAAAAGATGACCCTCTTCACAGCCAATGTACAGGTCACTTGTTGGAGTCCAGCAATGCATAGTCGGGTGAAGCAAAGGATATAGATCATCTTTCGGCTTCAGGAAGAGAATAAAAGCCTTGTGTTAAGCAAACAATCATGGCTAAGAACCAGAGAAATACCCACCAGAACAACTGACAAAAAGGAACCATCCTTACCCCATAGACACAGAAAACACAGGAACATTGAACATTTATCATCTTTTTTTTAAAGGACAGATTGACTTAAGTTGTATTATTTGTATATTTCATGCCCTCACAGCCTCAGACAGTTAGAAAATAAATACTTGTGTAACGATCTGGTCACCCAATGGATCAAGAAAAAGGCAAACCACCTTCCCCGTTCCAAAAAATTAAACTGCTGCTGAATAATGACATGTCTGTGGTGTCTGACTGAGATTTGCCTTACAAGAAAAAGAGTTACTCACTATTATCTCCATTATTGAAAAGTTTCTTGAGTTTTTTTGATGACATCTAACCTTAGACTATAAATCACAAAAAGACAGACTTATCTGGAATGAAAATAGGCTCAAAATCTTAAACTAAACAAAACAAAAATGTCTCTCATTTTCACAACACCAATGAATCTGTGTGTACAAAACAAAATGTGAAGATTAAAATTTGAAATTTTCTGGCCTTGGTATGTTAACCTAGTATTGGATGTGTTTTTTTTTCTTTTTTTTTTCTGTAAGACAAATCTGGGCTGGTCTTCCTGTCAGTTTTCCATCGGTAAATATATTCGATGCCATTTAAAAATGAATGTGATTATATAGATAATGTAAGCAGGAAGAATAGTTTATAATTTTGACATGTTTAAAAAGAAAAGGTACTAATGGTGTTTAAAACTGTTTGTTGATAATACCATCTCCTTTTTCAGTCCTCTAGAATCAGAAATCATTTTGATCACTTGATAACAAAACATGAAAAACTGCAGTCCAATTTAATCCTGCTTTAGAAAATGTAAAATTCCATAAATGTTTCAAAATATTTGAGTTTCTAAAAGAGATTCCTATTTAGCAACATCTGTTTGGAAAAATTAAAAAGGTAGATGGAAAAAGGAAATTAGACACTTGAGATTAAGTTCATGATCTTGGATCCAATTTCTGCCCAGATCACATCTACCTTTGATTTTTCCCTTGCTAAGACTTAAAACTGGATACATTTCTAATGCCCTAAATAAGTTGTGTAATGTGACTCAGGGCTATTTAAAGGCCTGTAATGTATCCTTCTGGTGTTAGCTATGAAAAGATAATGGGATTATTTAATGTTTGTAATTTTTTAAAAGTCCACAGCTTATCAATTTTTAAGAACTTACATAGATCGAGTCATTATTGATTCCCTTGCCATTGATACCCAGGTCACAAGAAATGACATTGAAGGAGAGAACAGAATCAAAACATTTGAGATCTAATTTTGGTTATGCTTTCATTCATTGTACAGACATCAATCAATGTTTTAAACATTTTCCTCACTTTATTTTGCTACAAAATGAAAAAGTAAATTACTGGGAAAATGTCTAAGTTAAATACAAAGTATATGGCTTTATTAATAATCCCTGAATGATTTGAGGATGTCAGTCATAACATTACATTTCTGCTTTCAGAAAAAGTTTGAAATACAATGAGTGTAAAAGTCCTAGGAAATAAAGATGTTTGCCTAATCTATCCACATAGCAAAACTGCATGTGTACCCCTTACATTTATACAAATAAAAAGATTTAAAAATAAAGATGTCTATTATGAGCATTTTAAAATAGTAACTTCACATTTGAGTATTTAAAGAAGGCATTTCATAGCACTTTTCAAATGACAAGGACAATTGTCTGAATTTTAAACATTTTATGCAGAGTTCATCATGTTTGCACAAAATGTGAAATATAAGGGCTCCTACACATATTTTCTGCTCAGAAAAACCCAATTTGAGATAGTAGAAATTTAGGGGCTCTATGCACCAAATACTAAACACAGAAAAATTTGAGTTGAAAACCTACATGGCTGATGTCTTTGTTCTTACTTTGCTGCCCCACTGTGGCTGAATGTAGTTATATTTCCAAGACTGAGACCTGTGCTATAAAAGGAACTAGAGTATCCACAGGGGGATGGGTTCCAGGACTCTCCACCAATACCAAAATCTGTGGATGCTCAAGTTCCTTATATTAAATGGCATCGTATTTCCATATAACCTACACACATCCCCCTGTTCTTTATTTTCAATTTTTTTTAATTTTATTTTTTCTCCCATATACTTTTAAGTCATCTCTAGGTTACTTATACCTAATACATGTTATATAAATAGTTGTTATACTGTATTGTTTAGGAAATAATGATAAGAAATCAAAGCGTGTATATATTCAGTACAGATGCAGCCATACAACTTTTTTTCCTGAATATTTTGATCTGCAGTGGGCTGAATACACAGAAGTAGAACCCATGAATACAGGAGGTTGATTGTAATCTCTTTCCATCATTTAAAAAGTTGAATTATTGTCATTCATTAGAGGAAATATTTTTTAATGAACTAATCCTCACATTAAATTATTTTTGTTATTATTATTATTATTTTTTTTTAGACTGAGTCTCACTCTGTCACCCAGGCTGGAGTGCAATGGCACTATCTCGGCTTACTGCAACCTCCACCTCCCGGGTTCAAGCAATTGTCCTTCCTCAGCCTCCTGAGTAGCTGGGATTACAGGCACCCACCATCATGCCCGACTAATTTTTGTATTTTTGTGGAATGAATGAATGGGGGTGTAACATTTGGCAAACTCCCTGTTTTGAAACTTTCTTCTGCTGTTTCCTATGGCCTCGTTCCTCCCTCCCGGGTTTGCTCCTACTCCTGTGACTGTGCCTTCTCAGACTTCTCTTTTGCCCCTAGGCTCTTGCTCCCTTCTCTTCTCTTGCACCCTTTCTCTCTTTGCTCATCACACCCCCTCAGGGCTCCCACCATCCTATCCGTGAGAATGACTCTGACAGTCCCACCTCTCCTCCCTAACACTAGGTCCACTTTGCCAACTTCCACCCAGCATCTCCACCTGGGTATCTTCCCTGCACCCTAAATTGTATATGCCCAAAATGGAACTCACACCTGGGCCCCCTGTTTCTGTTAGCAATGCCATCACCATCCCAGTAATTCAAACTCAAAACTCCAGAGTCTTGCTCTCTCACAGTCTCTGTGGCTAATCTATATGAAAAACCAAGATGATCCTCTCTATCCTGCATTTCTCATGGGATGCTTATGACAATCAAGAGAGCAGGCTTCCTAGACCTCAACCCATTAAATAAACAGGAAGAGGTGCCAGGTAATTACCCGGAAAGTCTCTGCCTCTTCACCTACTAGCCCAGCGATGGCTGACAGTGGCAGCACAGGTCCATAGATGAGATCTTTCGGCAACGACTGAGGAAAAACTACATCCGTTTCATTAAAAAATGACCCATCTTCTAGAGGTAGTTTTACCAACCTATAGACAAAAGAGACATCAGAACAATCAGAGGCAGAGAAGCTTCTTATTGAGGCAACCACTGCGTATTAGTGTAAGTGAGGTGGGGAGGTATTATAACTTATAAAAATCAAATAAGAAAATAAAAGCCAAATGATAGATTTAAAACTATATAACAGGTTGTAAAAAAAAAAACAAGCTACACAGTTTTAAACTAAGTACTTAGGTATTATAAAAATTGTTAAAAGTTAATATCTAAAGCAGGAGTAAATTTGAACACTGGATGGGGGTCAGGCAGGTGATATGTGACTATTGAGGATGGTAGAAAATGGGAAAATATTTTTCCCTCCTCAAGGTGGCAGGTACCACTCAGTTCAAGCCAAGAAGATTGTTGATATGTGAGAATTTTAATTCCAAAATTTCAAGAGAATACCTGGATATTTATGAGAAATCTCTCAAATTTTAAATATCGGCAATTAATTCAAATGAAAAGCACTGTAGGCCAAAATAAATACATATTTAAACATATATTTAGGCTGTATTCAGCTACTTTTATAATCTCTGATATCAAGAGTTCATTTTCAACTTTATCATATATCTAAATTTATAAAGGTTAACTTGAAGAACTGGTTGTTTCATGCATTAAATTAAAAACTTCCTTACCTAGATTTTATGAACAATAAACAATTTTGAAAGCCAATCACATAAAAACAGCACCTACTACTCAAATGTAAGGCTTAAGTGTGTTTGAATCCTGCTTGCTTCGTGAACCAGGACAATCCACTTGTTTTGTCTCCCAATGTATTTGCTTATAGAAAAGTCACAACTCAGTATTCAGAACTTGAGTACAATGTTCGAGGGAAGCGAAGGGAGAAAAGGGTGTAATAAGTTACTTGCCTGCCCTCACAAGGATCTGATAGAGATACAACCCACTTTTATTAAAAGGTGCAGTGTTGTCAACTCTCACTAGAGACAGATTTGGCTATTCAATGGGTTATTGTGAAAAAGAAATTGAGACATAAAGAGCACTGAGCAGAAAGAAGTGCTTCTCTTAAGTGTTTCCATTTTGAAAGCTTTGTTTACTAGCTTTAGATTCTCTTAAGGCAATTTATCAAAAATTGCAATTTCAAGGGAATACTTTGAGGTCTCTTAAAATCAAGAGATCCAACATCTCTTCAACTTTGACTTCATGGAGTACAATAAAACTGGTCAGCTCAGTAGCACCTTGAGCCTTTGAGCTCTTTCTCAACAAAAGCACCCATTAACACCAGGGCATTTTTCACAGAATTTCTCTTTGACCCAGCTCTATTTAAACAGGTAACTCCCATGGCTTCACTATACACAACTACCCTTTGCTTGTGGATAATGTGGCTGAATGTATAATCTGCATAATTTCTATATCTAACCGTTACTTATTTTTGAAATTCTTGTAGGGCAGCCAAGTAATAGCCAAAAGTCTTAACTGTCCTTTTTAATACAACAGGCATGTTTTAAAATAGTAAGGACAAATCAAATTTTTGAAAATTAAATCATGTTGAAAAAAGCTTTCAGAGAACGTAATATTTTCAATAAATTCATTGGGAAACGAGTCACAGAGAATTTTTTTGAAATGCAAAAAACCACTCCAAGGTAATCACACATGTAGAAAGATGTTAAGATAAGCTGAATGTATACATGTATGTGTGTGTATGTATATATACGTATGTATAAAGCCACTTAATTCATCAAATTGACCCAATCACATTACATGAATGCAAACAAAGACCACCGTGTTACTACTGCTGTATAGTAACAAAGCCTCCTACCTTGCTTTGAAATAATGCTCCTGGTTACTTCTTTCAATGGTCCACACACTCACTGTACTTGGGCTTGATAAGCACAGCTGGCGCCAGTTCATGGGGTTAAAAGACATTTGGTTCACATCCATACCAGGCTGTGATTTCTTGCACAAAATGATATTTGATTCCCAGTTCCTTAAAGAAAAATAGCATTTAACGAAAAAAAATTTATTTGAATTTCATGTATCGAGAACATTTACCTATTTTTTAAAAAATATATGTAAATTGGGATATAATTTATGATACAATTTATATAATCGATGACATTAATGTCAAATTTATAAATAATTTTGCTTATCATTGTATTGTATCCTAAGAAAACAAAATAACTGTACGTTTTAAAAACATACTGTCATATGCTATACCAAGGCTATTTTATCCTCTTTATTAAATTTGCAATTAAACTCAGCCAAACCTAGAAAATGAAATACATCATCACATTTGCTACAAAACAAGTGTAAGTGCCTGAATCTGTAAGTACTACATGTGAGTACTCCACATGGATCTGGGGGTACTCTTCTCATCCATGCCAACTGATCATTTTTTAAGTTTTTAAAATTAAAGTGGTGTATTTTAAAATGGATTTATTCATTTACCCATTTAAGAGAATACCCTGAACTCCTACCATGAACAAAGTCCCTTGCTAGATGAAAGAAAAGGAAAAATTAAATGTGAGCTATGCTCTCAAATAAGGAGCCAGAACTCCATTCAGAGTTGTAATTAGGAAACTAGAGCTAATATTTATTGAACTCAGCTTGTCTTTCATTCCCTCCTGCCCTCATCCGTTGTTCCCTATGCCCTGACCATCACATCAACCATACTCTTGCTGAAATCTCCAGTTCCCTCGATCCTTTGACTTTTTGCCTCAGGTACCTGGCAAAGACGATCAACCCTGAATGGATACAACTGAAGCCTGAGGTGCTGGAGACATGGGAACAAACAAAATAACAAAACTGAACATGACAGTGACAGTATAAATTTGTGGTTGCCACTCCCACCAGACCCTCAATAGGATCTCCAGTCCTGCTATGTTTCTCTGGCCAGTTCTCTCTCTCTCTCATTCTCTAAAATGGCCATTTAAAATATTCTCCCCTCTCCTGAAACTTCTAACTCCTCTACTTTCTTCTCATTCTCGGTAAATGGTCTTGATGCCCATGAATAAAACAGAGGCCATCAGCTGAGAATTCCTGCTCTCAAGTATAACTAATCTTTAGGGTCTGCATGGTTCTCTCCTCCTCCTATCCCCTTCCAATGGAAGGTATATCCTTCCTCTTACCTAAGGCCAATATGCTTACCAGTGCTCTGGTTCCCACAGCCTTGCCTTCTTAGGGACACTGGCTTACCCATAATAACTGCATTTTCTGACTCTCCCTCTATCCTGACTTCTTCCTGTCAACACACAAGTGCCTTCCCTCAGTCTCACCTTTCTATGTCTCTCTCCCCTCTCCTCTGAGCCAAGCTTTTTGAACAAGTTGTTCTAAAGTCACTGCCATGGCTTTCTCATCCACTCTCCTCATCCCAGGATATCTGCATCCTGTCACAACCATTCCATTGACATGGCTATGCTAGATATAGTGAACTCCAAGTTTCTCTTCAAAGAATCAGTAAGTCAGTATGTTCAGCTCTCTTATTCTTTAATTCTCCATTTTAAAGTTTAACTTCCTTGTAGTTTCAATAAACAACCTTTTCCACCAGTTCTAATCAGCAGTTCACATCTGTTCCTCTGGTCCCCTGCTCTGTCCTGACTCATCCCGATCACATGCTCTGATCACCTGCTTTGACCTAGGTCACCTCTGGCTACCTGCTCTAACCTGTTCCATAACTGTCCTTCCTGCCAAACTACCCACCTCACCACTCCAGCTCATGCCCCTGCTCCCTTTAAAATAGCCAATCAGAATTAGCTTAGACTGTGTGGTCTAACCCTAGCCAATAGAGGAGTGACACAGCAGCAGGGGCTACCTCCATCAGGAATAAGAACCCCTTCCTCTCTTGTCCAGATGTGTGCTCGCCATTTTTCTGTCTGTGAGCCACACCCTTCTATAGAAGTAAATTTCCTTGCTGAGGAAATTTATATTGGAGTGCTACTTCTTTTGCGGCACTGAAAATTTACATGTAACAGCTATATCCACAGACACTTCATCCTAAATCCAACAGACATTTATTGGTCATTGTCTAACTTTACCTCTGCAGAACTAGGCACTGTTCACCACAACCACCTTCTGGAATCACTCTTAGACTCTCCATCACACACCTCTTATGGGACATCACAGATCCTCTCAATTGTTTCTGAGCCCTTGACCACCTCTTCTGCCTAGCTGACTCACTGGCTGTCCAATTCTGTGTGCTCTTACTAACTTCATGTAGGCATACCCGCCCTGTGCCTCATCTGACACCTGTTTCACATGCCCAGAGGCTTCACTGTGGCTCCTGGGGACAAGATGCAGGAAGTCATGACAAAACCTGAAAGTGTGAAGGAGTTACCACCCTATGAAATGAAGCTTTGATCCATGGGATAGAGGAGTTGGTGGATAAATTATCATCTCCTTTCCCCTTCCCCACCCACAGTCTGTCACTGCCCGAGGACTGTCCTGATTCACGGAAGTTCATAGAACCTCTCAGAAGACTACCTTTGAGATAAAGTAATCAATTGCACTTGGTACCAAGTGGTGACCAGCAAGGTAATGTGCCCTCAGACTGGCTCTCCTGCCCTGGGATCACACACCCTACCAAAGACGGGGTGCATGAGCTCTTGCCTCAGCCTCTGCTTTCCATGGAACCAAGGCTGAGGCATATTCTAAAACCCTCCTTGCCTAGTTTCGCTCCTTCTTTCATGGCTACTCCTATGAGTCTCCTAAGTGGGTCCCTTCCATTGATATTTCTCTCAGTTCCACCTTAGGCTCTTCTTGAAGTGTTCTTATTTACATTTAGTACTTTGGCTATCCATTGACTTAACTATTCCCAAAAGTTTATCTCCAGCCCTCTCTCCTGAGCACCAGTCCTGGATATCTGTGGCAAGGCATGAGTCCCCCAACATTTATTCTCCATTTCTCCCTCTGAGTAACAGAACCCCCAAATATTAACCAGGCACATATGGCCACTCACAACAAAGACCATATGACTCAGTGCCCCCCTTGAAGCTAGCTGTGGCTTATGGCCGAGCAGGTCAATGAGTGTAAGTGGCAGTCGTGTGTGCACCTTCCAAGTCCTGCATTTCAACAGAAGGTTTGTGGCCTTCCCCTCATCCTTTTCTCTTCCCATTGGCTTCCAAAAATACAGGGGTGGTTCCTAGAGTTCCTCTGCTGTTTCTAGAGTGTTGCCCTCATCACTAGTCTCTAATGGGGTAAATACTAGAGATGAGGGCAACATCCTAGGAACAGCAGAGCAGCATTACAGTGGGAGCTGCTGACCCCGAGGAGCCACCACACATCCATAGCTGCTTGGGCCCAGACAGCTGCATGTGAGAGAAGGAAACACCTGTTGGTGATTTGGGTTTCTGTGACCACAACTGACCCTAAGTCCTAACTGATATATCAGCTGCCAACTAGTTATCTCCATTTGTTCATCTCAAGCAGTCACAGTTCAGTTTGTCCCCTAGCTCATCTTCCCCCATTGCCTCCTCTAAATTCCCTGCCCCCAAGCCCTCATTATCTCTCTATAGCACTCAGTGTCCCTAAGTTGCCCAAGTCACAACTCTGGGTATAACCCTAGACCCATCCCTCTTCCTCAGCACCACACCCAACATTTAGTCAGTTACGAGTCCTGCGATGCTACCTCCTAATCACCTCCCAAATAGTTTCATTTCCCTCTATCTCTACTCCCACCCTAGTCCATGCCACGGTCATCTCTCACCTGGACCACCACAGCCTCCTAATTGATGCTCATGCCTGGTTTCCTTCCAATATACCTTCCACAATACAAAAGTATTAGAGGGAAACAACTGGCTGGAAAGTCTTCTTAAATGCAGACATAATGGTCATATACCTGCTTAAAACCCTTTAGTAGCTTCACATTGCCTTTCGGATAAAAGATTTGTCCAATAGCATAGCTTATATGGAGGGTGAGTATCCTTTGCAGTACGCCTAGGAGAAATCCAGTTTAGGCTAAACCCAGTTTAGGTGCCCTGCATTCATTAGCAACACCCCCTTTCAGGACTCTCTAAAGCATCCTGATGTGGATGATAAACCACACTGTCACCTACTTATATGGCTGCTCATGAGCTGACCTCTGACTGTCCCTCCAGGCTTGCCTCTCTCATGGCATATCTCTTGTTCCCATTACTATGAACTTTTCATTAAAACCTACCGTGCTTTCTCTACCTCATGGCCTTTGCACATGCTAGTCCTCTGCCTGGGATCTTCTTTCTTCTTGTCACAAGGCTGATTCCTGCTCATCCTTTAGATATTGCTATGGGTTGAACTGTGCCTCCCCTAAATTCCCATGCTAATATCCTAACCCCTAGCACTTCAGAATGTGACCTTATTTGGAAATATGGTCTTTACAGAGGGTAATCAAGTTAAAATAGGTCATTAGGATGGGCCCTAATCCAGTAAGACTAGTGTTCTTATAGAAAAGGATCATTTGGAGACAGACACACACAGGGAGAATGCCATGTAAAAATAAAAGCAGAGATCTGGGTGATGTGTCTATAAGCCAAGGACTGCCAGCAAAAAAATGAGCAGAAGTTGGTGAGAGGCATAGGAGCAGATTCTCTCTCATAGCCTTCAGAAGGAACCAACCATGCTGAGACCTTAATCTCGGAATTCTAGTCTCTAGAACTGGGAGACAATACATTTATGCTGTTTAAGCCACCAAGGCTGTGGTACTTTGTTATGGTAGGTCTAGCTAATTAATACACGTATCTGCTTAAACATTACCTCTTCTTCCAGGAGGCTTTCCCTGACCATCCCCCTACACCATCAGATTAGGTGAGGTACCCCTACTACATGTTCCCATTGTACCTTAGATTAATGAAAGCTATGAAAGAGCTTAGAAACCAAATGAGTTTAAAGCCCACTCAGCAACTTACTAACTATATAAGTTTAGGGAAGTAGCTTATAAGAACAAAAAAAAAAACAAAAACGAAACTTGGAAAAAAGAAAAATTGTGTTGGCTTGATTTCTCACATTGTGTTATAAGCATTTTCCAACAAGCCTCCTCAAACAAAAACCAGACTTTGTACCTTGTTTTGCCCCATGTCTGATACTCCTGGAGAATGTAACTTTGTTATCCTAGTATACTAACAGCCCCAATGTGATAAAAGCAGGCACGCATTTACGGGTTAGAGTTTAACACTAGAACATATACAATGCTATGATTCTGTTCCCTGGTAGAAAATAAGTTTAAGTAGCTAAGGTTATAGGGATCTCTGGAAAGTTAATCATTCATGTTTCTAACCTAGAAATATTATTTAACCATTCCTTTTTCTAACTCTGTGTGCATGTGTATGTGTGTGTGTATGTGTGTGTTTTGAGGTGGAGTCTCGCTCTGTCACCCAGGAGTGCAGTGGTGTGATCTCAGCTCACTGCAACCTCCTCCCAGGTTCAAGCAATTCTCCTACCTCAGCCTCCCGAATAGCTGGGACTACAGGCATCCACCCACCTGACTAATTTTCATATTTTTAGTAGAGATGGGGTTTTGCCATGTTGGCCAGGCTGGTCTCAAACTCCTGACCTCAGGATTAAATCCACCCACCTCAGCCTCCCAAAGTGTTGGGATTGCAGGCATGAGCCACAGTGCCTGCTGGATGTTCTTTTAAGCACTCAGGAATTGCTATGGTCTGTTCGTGCCCCCAAAATTTCTATGTTGAAATCCTAACCCCAATGGTAATAGTATTGGGGATTGGAGGATTGGGACTTTTGGGGAGTGATCAGGTCAAGGGTGCAGAGCCCTCATGATTGAGATGAGTATCCTTATAAAAGAGAGCTAGCTCATCCCTTTCACCATGTGAGGATATAGTGGAAATTATCATCCACGAATCAGGAAGCAGACCCTCACCAGACACTGAAGCTGTTAATGCCTTGATCTTGGACTTTCTAGCCTCCAGAACTGTAAGAAACAAATTTCTGTTGATTATAAGCCACCCAGTCCATGGGATTATGTGATAGTTTACTAAGACAGGGACCAGCTTCGTCTTCCTGCTGGTTCCGTTATCAAGGAGTTATACGAAACCACCTTACGACTCACAAGCTGTTTGAAAATTCTACTTTAACATCTCATCTCTCTAAAGTTTCAGTCTCTTTCTTTAAAATAAGGACCATCATAGATGTCTCATGAGGGTTTTGTGGGGGCGGGGAGGGGAGGCAGGGATTAAATGGACTAACCCATTGGCAATCTCAGTGAATGCCTCTCTGATGAAACTCATGGTGGTGGTATAGCTGGTGTACAGCATATTGTCTTTGCTTGTGAACCCCAGATGTTCCAGACCCCACCAGCCTGAGACTACAACCATAAGACCATTCTCCACTTAGATTCTTTTTCAAAATTGTTATTTTTAATAACACAAATAATATATGAATCCATTCTGCTCTTTTAAAACATTAGAACATAAAGGTAAAGTCTTCTTGGACCAATTTACTTCCTGGAGTCAAATCGTGGTACTTGAGCTCCTCCTTGTGTGACTTCCAGAAGTTCACCTCTTTTGAACTTTTACTAAATTACTGTCACCAAGTGAGTTGCATCCTCCTCCCTGCTTATCTTCCAGCTCCCTTGTGTTTAGGCCCACTGCTGGCAAAGCTACTTGGTGAAGAGGACTACTGGCCCTCATCACAGGATTAAATCTCACTCACATTTCTATGCAGCACCCAACGGTGCCATCAGGGTTGCTGCCAAAGTTTCTAATCTTGGTTTCCAGAGCAGAGGCTGGAGGAGTGTCTGTCTCCCAGCTCTGTTCATACTCATTCTTGGGCCCCGGGGCACCTCCGCTGCCACAGAGCCTCACTGAGAATCTCCTCATGAGAGAGCAGTGTCTGGCCCTCCCCACAGCATCTACCTTGTCCTCCCCTGCCCTTCTCACTCCTGCCCGCTCTGACTCAAATTTTCTAAATGGAAGTGGACGTGAATATTAAGACATGCAAAAAAAATCTAGGGGAAGGGTTGGGACAGGGAGAAGATACTACCTACGCATAGTCTTGGTCTCACCTCAGCCTATCAAAAATGCCCCCTACAGAAGACTCAGATATACCTAAAATGTACCTAAGAAGAGATATGTTTTATTTCCAGTAGGAAGCAGGAGATACAAGCTTATTGAATGGATTAAATCCAGTGAGCAAACTCAAATGCTTATAGGGGCCAGGAAGTTAATGTAAACGATGAAATGGTCTGAGTATATACACTTCTAGGTCAGGGGTTGGCAAGCACTTTCTAAAAAGACCAGACAGTAAATCTTTTTAGCTTTGCAGACCACATATGAGCTCTTTTACAACTCGAGTCTGCTACTGCAGAGCAAAAGCAGCCATAGACAACATATAACCAAATAGCATGTTCCAATGAAACTTTATTTACAAAAACAGGTGGTGGGCCACATTTGGCCTATGGGCCATCATTTACTGACCCCTGCTCAAGGTGGTGGGCATCTAGAACGAGCAACCACTTACTAGCCCACACCAGACTGTGACCATGTGGGAATAAAGGTCCAGGGTTGCCTGTGTTTGAGAAAGGCTACACAGATAACTTTTTCTCTAAATTTTTCCAATTTTAAAAATATTTTATGGCCTAAACAAAATACATTGGTGGCCCAGAATTAGCCTAACAATCATCATTTTTGAAACTCTGACTTAAATAAACATCATGTAATAGACACTATTAGGTATGATGCATATGTTTTACTCAATGAATTATTAGAAAAACCATATTTAGGAAATAGGAGATATTGATATATCCATTTTACAGAGGAAGAAACTAAGCCTTTCTAAGATCACACAGCTAGTAATTTGTGGAACCAGGATTCAGGTCTAAGTCTGTTATACTAACACATCTGTGCTCATTCCCCTTCACTGCTTTTTTTAATATTCACAGGTTATACTTAGGAAGGACAATTGGAGCCTTCTGCTTTTGGAATTATGAGAATGTATGCACTTGTCATCTCTCCCCAGCTGCTTCCTATCCTGCCTGCTATCCTGTATATCCAGAACTGTGAGATGATACATTTCTGTTGTCTGAGACACTCAGTGTGTGATACTTTGTTACAGAAGCCCTAGCAAGCTAATACAGTACATCAACAACAGGTGAATAAAGTATGGTATATCCATACCAAGGATTAGAAAGCAATGACTATTGACACATATATGCAGCGGCATAAGATAATTTCAAAATAATTATGCGGCATGAAAGAAACTAGATAAGAGAATAGACACTGTATGACTCCCTGTATATGAACTACCAGAAAATGCAAGCTAGAGTGACAGAAAACATATCACTGACAAAGGCTAATAAAGAAGATCTTTCTGGGGTGATAGATGTATCTATTATCTTGATTATGGTGATGGGTATATACATAAGTCAAAACTTATCAAAGCATTTACTTTACATGTGAACAGTTTATTATCTGTCCATTATACCTCAATAAAGCTGTTTTAAAAAATTTTAGGGCCAGGTGCAGTGGCTCATGCCTATAATCCCAGCACTTTGAGAGGCCAAGGTGGGCAGATCACCTGAGGTCAGGAGTTCAAGACCAGCCTGGCCAACATGGTGAAACCTTATCTCTACAAAAATACAAAAATTAGCTTGGCATGATGGCAGGTGCCTGTAATCCCGACTTCAGGAGGCTGAGGTACGAGAATTACTTGAACGTGGTAGGTGGAGGTTGCAGTGAGCTGAGATTGCGCCATTGCACTCCAGCCTGGGTGACAGTGCAAGACTCCGTCTCAAAAAAAAAAAAAAAAAATTTTTTTTTTACATAAACTAAATGTGGCTCCCTGAATCTAGGTTCTTACATTTTTGTATAAGAAATGCTGATATACTCATACCTGTAATCCCAGCAGTTTGGGAGGCTGAGGCAGGTGGTTCACGAGGTCATGAGAGCATGGCCATCCCGACCAACATGGTGAAACCCTGCCTCTACTAAAAAAATACAAAAAAATTAGCAGGCCATGGTGGTGCGCACTTGTAGTCCCAGCTACTCAGGAGTCTGAGGCGGAAGAATCACTTGAACCATGAGGCGGAGGTTGCCTTGAGCCAAGATTGCGCCACTGCACTCCAGCCTGGTGTCAAAGCGAGACTCCATCTCAAGAAAAAAAAGGAAAGAAAGAAAGGAATGCTGGTATATTATCCTTAATCATTCCTGGAATATCTTGTACTTCCCCTTGAAAATAAGAAAAATATCCCCTTGAAGGGGTTATATGATGGATAGAAGAGGGAGTACAGCCTTAAAATTGGCCACATGAAATAATTCAAGAAAGACCAGAAGTGTATCTTAACCACAGGTATTTCCCATACAGCAGACAAAAGTGGTATAATACTCCACTCTCTGAACATATAATTATTCTAATGTCTCTAACAACAATTACTTTAAACTGAACTCTAATATAGAGACCATCTCAATTTCAATATTAGCAGCAAACATGCAAACAACTCCAAGACGCCATTTATTAAGTGAAACTTTGTGTATTTATAAATATATTATCTGAGAATACATAAAGCATGTTAATAAAAGAGAATGACAGTAATTTAGTTTTCATATAGTGTTTGCCCTGACTGCCAAATTTTATTCCTAAACATAGCAACTATATTAAAACTTGTGATTGGGATTTTTTCCTTCTATATTTCCTTGTTTCAGATTTTTCATGTCTATTTCCTTTGATAAAATCCAGAACAGTAAGAGGAAAATGTAACCCAGTAAAAGGAATTCCACAGGATGCTGTAACTTACCAAAGGGCCAGTTCAAATTCTGGGAGAGAGGAGTAACTAGCCAGGTAGGTGCCACAGTAACTGAATGAAAGTAAAGTGTAGTCCAGAAGAACGTTGCCTAAAATATAAAATCCATTACAAGGATTTGATTATGTTAAGACCATGTTCAGTTAACTACGGTCTTATAGTTTATTTTCCTTTGCTAATGATTTTCACATAATTCAAAAGCATTTAACTATTAGAATAAGACAGCACCTGGCTAATTTCTAAGACCATGAACAGAAAGCTTAGAGCAAAGCTAAGATCCATTTGTAAAAGATACTAAAGTGAATTAGGAACATTAGGCTACTGTCTCTAGACTTCAATGCAGAAGTGAGCATACTGCACCATATATGTCCCAGAATGACTTGAAATGACCCAAGAATCATAGAGTATCTCATAAATATAGGAGACACTGTAATTAGAATAGTTATTTAGACATCTTTAAATATCTTGGAGGTTTGTAATCATTCTAGCCTACTTCCTCATTTCTATTATCTTAGGCCATATCTGCCCCTTAGCTTAGTATCTTCCAGCTTTTGGAACAGCTATAAAAAGTGATATACTCCTTTGTACCTATAGTTGAAGAAAAGCAACATGAATTCCAAAGTCTTAGCAACAAACGTGTTTTAAAATGCATCTCATGGGGAGGCCAAAACAAGAAGTGCCTGTCTCTGCTTCCCAGTATAGAATGGTCTGATTTTCCCTCTCCTTCATCTGCTGTTCTTTAATGTGGTTCCACAGGTGCAAGCTTTGCCCTCACCTCAGTCTGTATTTGTATGTGTCTCGATTGCGTTTTGTGTGGATTTTTAATGGCTGTTTCTTGCTTTTTTCTCATTCTCATTTTAATTGACCATAATATAATGCTACAATTTAACTTGCATCATTTGTTGAATATCTTTAGCATAGTCTAATCAACAAAGACAAAAATATGTATCTATTGAGCATTCACTACAAAAATTAAGTTTTTCTGTAGGCAGAGACCTTAATGATTTTTAAATGCTTGCTAAATAGTCATTTCCCTCCACAATGGAAGATGACCCATTTTAGATATTCTTTAAATCTTAAAAAATATGGTGTTTGAAGAAAAAAAAAAAAAAAAAAAAGAGAGAAAAATATATCCTCTATAATCCTACCACCGAACTTGGTAAATTTCTTTCTAGTATTTTCTTCTGTGTTTACTTGAAAAAAATACATATATATTTTCTTTAAATGTAACTCTGCTTTTTATAGCTATACTAGCCATAGATTAAATATTATATATGAGGCTGAGTGCGGTGGCTCATGCCTGTTAATCCCAGCACTTTGGGAGGCCGAGGTGGGTGGATCACCTGAGGTCAGAAGTTTGAGAGCAGCCTGGCCAACATGGCGAAATCCCACCTCTACTAAAAATACAAAAATTAGCTGGGCGTGGTTATACACGCCTGTAATCCCAGCTACTCAGCAGGCTGAGGCAGGAGAATTGCTTGAGCCTAGGAGGCAGAGGTTGCAGTGAGCCGAGATCGTGCCACCGCACTCCAGCCTGGGTGACAGAGCAAGACTCAGTCTAAAAAAAAAAAAAAATTAGCCAGGCATGGTGATGGGCATCTGTAATCCCAGCTACTCGGGAGGCTGAGGCCAGAAAAATCCCTTGCACCTGGGAGGCGGAAGGTGCAATGAGCTGAGATTGTGCCACTGCACTCCAGCCTGAGAGATAGAGCGAGACTCTGTCTCAAAAAAAAAATTATTTATGATAATCCACTTTTAAATGGAATTACATCATACATAGTGTTCCCTCCTATTTTTATTTACATTACATTGAGCATTTATCATTATCTTAACACCTCTTTAAAAATGTTTACATAATACCCCTTTATAGTGTGTTTTAATTTTTTTAACTATATCCATAATACTGGAGATCTAGGTTGCTCCAATCTTTTGCTATTATGATAGTGCTTTTTAAACTCCTTTGCATGTAAATCTTTGACCATATTTCTAACAATTTCCTAAAAATTGAATTCTTCTTGAAGTGAGTATACTAGGTCAAATTGAGCAAATATTTACTTCACAGGAAGACACTATCAACTTATAGTCCCACCTTCAGCAAATAGAAGTGCTACCAATTTCACTGCACTCTACCTAGCAATTATGATCTTAAAAGAAATTGTGACCTTGACTGGCAAAAAAATAGTATCTTGGTTTAAACCACACTTTTTTTTTTTTTTTTTTGACAGAGTTTCACTCATGTTACCCAGGCTGGAGTGCAATGGCGCGATCTCGGCTCACCGCAACCTCCGCCTCCTGGGTTCAGGCAATTCTCCTGCCTCAGCCTCCTGAGTAGCTGGGATTACAGGCACGCATCACCATGCCCAGCTAATTTAAACCAAACTTTTTAAAAACAAATGTTGAGATAGATTTGATGTCTTTGGTCATCTGTAGTTTAGTGATTTGTCTGGGTTAATTTCTTTTCCATTGTTCTGTTTGTCTTGTTTTTATTATTTCATTAATGCTCGGAAGATATTTGATCATATTTATTCCAAATATTTTCTTCAGTTTATTATTTCCCTTTTAATTTTTCATGGTGTTTTTAATGTTAATCAGTTTTAAATATATATGCAATCAAATGTGTCTGTCTTTTCTAAGTTTTTGTTTTGTATGAAAAGTTCTACCCCTTCCTGTAATCACTCCTCTATTCTATCATATTTTCTACTATTTTTAAGTGGATTTATTTCTGTTATTTATACTGAACGCTTATTTTCATCTGATATAGATCATGAGTGTCTAACTTGATACTTTTGTTCAAATATTCAGTTTTCTTAACACCACTGTTGAATAATCCACATTTTTTCTTTTTCTTCTTCCTTCTTCCTCCCTCCTGTTCTTCCTCCTCCTCCTCTTCCTCCTTTTTGGCGGGGCGTCTTTCATCATTTACTCAGCTCTTAAACACTTTAGATTCTGTCCCAAGTTTTCAACTCTCCCACCAATCTGGTGATCCCGGCACCAATGCCATACTCCTAATTACTATGGTGCCATAGTATTAAAATGACCCTCTGCCTTGCCATCATTCTCTTTCAAATTATTCTCATTCTCTGTTTTATTTTCCCAGATGAATTTTCGAATCATTTGAGTACTCCTTGCTGTCTAAAACATATGATAAACCTACATGATAAATTACTTTCTGTGACAAATCTCAGAAATATATTTATAATAACCAGGCTTTCCATCCAGGCATATATTTCTGTATATTTAAATATTTTAAATCAATGATTTTTGTAGTTTTCTTCACCTAGGTCACTCACACTTATTTTTCTGAATTATTTCTAAGTATGTATATCTTCAAACTGCATGCATATTTACCTCAACACTAGCATCTTACTGAGCATTCTTTTGTTAGTAGATTATTCCATCATTCATCATCTCCTTTCTCATAGCTATATATTTTTTTTCAGTTTTATATTTTGTTGCCATTGGCTAGAACTTCCAGATTGATATTAAATAATAGTGATAACAGGTCTGATGACTTATTTCTAATTTTACTGTGAATTCCTTTAGGGCTTCATTATTCAGTACGACTCTTAGCTAATGGTTTGAACTAACTTTCAATTGGCTCAAACAGAACTACAGCCAAATAACCAAGCTGAGGAAACTTAAAGAAAAAGTTATAGTCCACCTAGATAGTCCCCAACTTGTGAATGGGTTATCTTTTTTTGTTGTTTTTTATTTTGTTTTTTGAGACGGAGTCTTGCTCTATCACCAGGCCGGAGTGCAGTGGTGCAATCTTGGCTCACTGCAACCTATGCTTCCTGGGTTCAAGTGATTCTCCTGTCTCAGCCTCCTGAGTAGCTGGGACTACAGGCATGCACCACTATGCTCAGCTAATTTTTGTATTTTTAGTAGAGATGGGGTTTCACCATGTTGGCCAGGATGGTCTTTATCTCTTGATCTGCCCGCCTCGGCCTCCCAAAGTGTTGGGATTACAGGCATGAGCCACTGTGCCCAGCCGGGTTATGTTTTAAAAGTTGTCTTAATCTGTTGAGAACGCAAATTTCCCCACAAACAAAGTATTGTAAATTATACTGAAGTTCCCTGACTTCACCCAAACACTTAATTGACCCTTAAGACTATAGAGCTAAGTCTAGTCTCAAGCATGAGCTTTCTGCCCATGGGGTGATAAATGAGGGAATCATTAGGTAGAGGCTCCAGCAGAGGTGCAGTAGCTCAGTGTGGGTCAGCTGTATCTAAGAATGAGTCAGTAGGTCAGGCACAGTGGCTCACACCTGTAATCCCAGCACTTTGGGAGGCGGAGGTGGGTGGATCACTTGAGGCCAGGAGTTCCAGACCAGCCTGGCCAACATGATAAAACCCCATCATTCTCTACCAAAAATATTAAAAAAATAGCCGAGCGTCGTGGTGCATGCCTGTAATCCCAGCTAATTGGGAGGCTGAGTCAGGAGAATCACTTGAACTCAGGAGGCAGAGGCTGCAGTGGGCCAGGATCACGCCACTGCACTCCAGACTGGGTGATGGAGCCAAACTCTGTTTCAATAAAATAAAATATAGTAATTCAAATGGTAGGCAACATTGATTGGGCCCTTGGCATACATACATATACAGTATATTATATAATTGCATCTATCATCATTACTGCAGCCTTCACATTAGACACTATCTTTGCCCCTATTTCATGGATGAGGAAATTGAGGCTCAGACACTCATCTTTAGAAATTATATTAACATCAATTCACCAGGATTTTCAACACATATTAGAGAAAAAAAAAAAATCATTGTTCTGAAAAAGGTAATAGAGTCTTCTAGCCCAGTGCTTCTCATAGTTTAATGTGCATATGAACCACCTGGGGAATTTTGTTAAAATGCAGATTCTGATTGAATAGATCTGGCTTTGGGAGCCAAGTTTCTGCATTTATAACAAGCTTCCCAGGTAGCACCAATGTTGCTAGTAAACAGACCACACTTTGAACAGCAAGTTTCTAGCCAACTTAATTAAATCCTCAGTGATCAGCTTGATTCCTTCTTTAAAAATGTATATTAAAAAAAAAAAAAAAACCTTTCAACCTTTACTTATATTAGATTTGGTCAAATCTTAAAATCCTTCAATTACAGGCAGAGGAAGGGTTCTCCAGAATACCTTTCAGTTTGGTCCTTCTGGTCAATCCAGGAAAGCTGTATATGTAGATGAGGGGTTTCAGCTTCCGGTCAGAAAAAGCCACAACTTCATAGGGGATGTTAGTTGCCACGACGCCCACAATTCCATTACTACACTGGAGTACAGTCTTTTTCTTTGTTTCAATGTTAATAAATATTACAAAATTCCCACAAGGGTAGCAAATGGTGTTGTCGTTGACAAAATGAACATTCTGCTTAGGGAATCCTTGCACCCATCTTTGGGAAAAGACATGTCAACATCAATATAATACATTTCAAATACTTTTTTTTTTAAAACAAAGCAAAGGGTCATCAAAATCTTTGAAACATTGCTATTTTCATAACTTTTCTGCCCCCAAACAATTTCTAAGATAAAAGAACACATATGCTGGCTGTGAGATCCATTTAAGTCAATGAACTATAGAAATTTAAATGTAGACCTAAAGTTCCATAGGTCTCCCAGGCCTTCTTCAGATAACTTTTTCAGCAAACAAAACTCTGACCAAACCTGAGAAAGTCTCAGAAGGACTTCTGAGGTCTTGTACACTTGGAGGACAAAACGTGAAAGTAACAGAGAAAAGAGTTTGATCTCGTTCCCACACCAGATCTACTCAATGAGAATTATAAAAGAATAGCCATTCTTTTATCATTAGACTTTTAAAATAAACTTAAAAAACAACTTTGATAGGACAGCCTACTTTGTGTGTAAGCCGAGTAGGAAAATTGCTTATTTACACAGATGAAGAGTATGTGGCCATATTTCAGATCTAAAAATAGAGATGAATGTAGAAAATAAAAGGAATGAAGTCGACGTCAATGAAACGCTGGCACACAAAAGGCACCCTTAGGTAAGGAGTGTGTGCTAGGTGTATGCTAGAAGGAAGGAGAGATGAAGGAGATTCTATTTTTATTTAAATATTAAAGATTTGCTTGAAGGCGGTAGAAAAGGCAAGTGAAGGACACTGGTTTGGTGAGAAACCTCGAGACATTAGAGTGCCCAGGACTAGCAGGGGGTGCTGTATAGAGTCGGGGTGGGGGCTGGAAGTGGGGGGGAACACGCTAGAATGCAGGAAAAAAAATACCACCCATATTCGCGCAGTGCTTGATGCTTTTCAAAGGCCACTATAAATGCAAATACATCCAAAGCTAGTGGATGGGAGTTAGAAGGGATTCAAGATCCAAACTTTGGGGAAAATCACCAAACAGCAAGGACGGGATCGGGGCTGTCCCCGGGTGGAGGGGGAGGGGGATGTGATCAGGGGACCCGGATCATTGGCGGGAATCCTGAGCCAGTGAAGGGTGCAGGGGGCGTTGCTAGGTAAGCGAGCGAGGGTCAGGGTCGCAGGAGTGGGAAAGACAACTGGGGGACGGGGTCACGGAACAAGGGGATGGGAGAGCATGGAGGAGGTCACACGGGGAGGGAGGCTGCGGGAAGGCACTGGGGGGCGGAGAGGAAGGGGGCGAAGCTGCGTGGAGAGCCGCCCTAAGGAACGCGAAGGAGAGAAGGGAGGAAGGGACGTCGGGCAGGAGGTTCCGCGAGACCGAGATCGGTCGCGGGGTCGTTGAGACCGCACCTCACGGATAGGGACGAGCCGCCGGCTGAGTGGGGGCCTTCGTCGCGCTCCCGGCCTTGTGCCATGGGCCCAGTTTTCCTCAGGCGGGAGCGGGCAGCGCACGCAGCACCCCGGGGCGGGTCGGTGACGGTTCCTCAGCCGCCTGGCTGCGGGCCGCAACGCTGCCGCTGTGTACACCAGTATCCCGGAGACCGTAAGCCCCGCGACCATTGGCTCTGCTCTTTGGCCGTCTCCCTCCAGGGCCGAGCAGATTGGTGGAACGGTCGCCGCGCTCGACCAATGGGTGAGCGGCAAGCCAAGAGAGAGGCGGGCCCTTCCGAGTGTGGGCTGGAACGGCCCAGGTCCGGGCCAATAATTGCAAGTAAGGTTCATGCCTGCAATCTCCGTGTTTTCAGAGGCCAGCGGGGAAGGATCGCTTGAGGCTGGGAGTTAAAGACCAGCCTGGACAATATAGTGAGACCTTTCCCCCTCCCTGCATCTCTACAAAAATTTTAAAAATCAGCTGGGCATGGCGGCACGTGCCTGTAGTCCCAGCTACTTGGGAGACTGAGGTGGAAGGATCGCTAGAATCAAGCGTTCCAGGCTGCAGTGAGCTGGGATGCCGCTGCAGCACTCCAGCCTGGGTGACGGAGAGAGACCTGTCTCTAAATAAATAATAATTTTTAAAAAATATATTTCTAAACAGACATTCATTTTGAGTGCTGACTGCGCCAAATATTGTTGCAATGTCTTCACATCTCCCATCAGCCCCATTTACAGATAAGTGAGGAAGAGAAGCACATAATTTGTCCAAGGCTACAAAGCTGAATGGGACTTTATTTATTTATGTTTTTTTTTTTGTTTTTTTTTTTTT